GGAAAAAGATATAAAAGACCTGTACACCGAAAACTAAAAAATATTGCTAAAAGACATTAAAAACCAAAGTAAATGGAGACAGAGAGAGAGAGAGAGAGAGAGAGAGAGAGAGAGAGAGACCTTTTTCATGGGTCAAAAGACTCAGTATTGGCACAATGTCAATTCTCCACAATTGATCTACAGATTCAATTCAATCCCAATTAAAATCCCAGCAAGCTTTTTTTTTCTAGAAACTTACAAAATGATTCTAAAAGTCACATGGAAATTCAAAAAACCTAAAATAATCAAAACAACGCTGAAAAGAAGAACAAAGTTGGAGAATTTACACTACCTGATTTCAAAGATTATTACAGGTTGAGCATATCAAATACAAAAATACAAAATCTGAAACTTTTTGAGTGCTGATGTGATGCTCAAAGAAAATTCTCCCTGGAGCATTTTGGATTTCAAACTTTTGGATTTGGGATGCTCAGCCAGTAAGTATAATATAAATATTCCAAAATCTGAAAAAAAAATTCAAAATCCGAAATACTTCTGGTCCCAACCAATCTGGATAAAGGATACTCAACTTGTATAAAACTACACTAATAAAAACAGTATAATATTGGTGTAAAGATAGAAAATAGATTGATGAAACTACATGGTGTCCCAGAATAAATCCACACATCATGGGCAACTGATATTTGACAAAGTTGTAAAGAAATGCAGTGAAGAAATATTGTCCTTTCAACAAATGTTGATGGAATAATTGGATGTCCACATGCACAAAAATGAACTTTGATCTATACCTCACATTATATACAAAAATTAACTCAAAATGGATCAGAGATCTAAATGTACAACCTAAAACCATACAACTTCTGGAAGAAAACAAGGTCTTTATGATCTTGGGTTAGACAAAGATTTCTTAGATGACATTAAAATCACAATCCATAAAAGAGAAAATTGATAAATTTAACCTCATCAGCATTTAGAATTTCTGCTCTTCAAAAAACGCTGTTAAGAAAATGAAAAGGTAAGCCACAGACTGGGAAAAAACGCTTGTAAAGCATATACTTAACAAAAGACTTGTATCTAGAATATATAAAGAGCTCTCACAATGTAATAAGACAAACAACTCAATAATAATGAAATGGGAAAAAGTTTGAACAGACACTTCATCAAAGTAGACATATGACTGGCTAACGAGGACATGAAAATATACTCACATGACTAGTGAGGGAGGTCCAGATTAAAACCACAATAAGATTGCACTGTACACCTATTAGAATGGCTAAAATTAAAAAGGTTGTACATATTCAGTGTTGACAGGAATGCAGAACAACTGGAACTCTCATACACTGCTGGTGGGAATATAAAATGGTACATCCACTTTGGAAAACAGTTTGGTAGTTTTTTAAAAAGCTAAATGTACCTCCACTATGTTATATAGTCTTATCATGCCTCAGTATTTACCCAAGATAAAATTAAATATATGTCCTTATAAAAACTTGTACACAAACTTTCATAGAAGCTTTATTTGCAGTAGCCCCATCCTGGAAACAACCCAAATGTCCATCAAGAGATGAATGGATAAACACACAATGGTACCCGCATGCAATGGAATATTAGCCAGCAATAAAAGGGAAGGAACCATTGAGACACACATAAATATGCATGAATCTCTGTTATGGTTTGAATCTATGTGTCCGTCCAAAATTCATATGTTGGAACTTAAACCCAGAGGTGATTATATGTGGGGCCTTTGGGGAAGTGATTAAATCATGAGGCCTCCACCCTCATGAATGGGATTAATGCCCTTCTAAAAGAGGCTTTGGAGAGCTGCTTGGCCTTTTTTGCCTTCCATCTCTTCTGCCATGTGAGGACACAGCAAGAAGATGCCATCTTGGAAGCGGAGAGTAGCCCTCACCAGACACCGAATCTGCCAACGCCTTGACCTTGGACTTCTCAGCCTGTAGAACTGTAAGAAATAAAGTTTTCTTTTTTATAAATTACCCAGTGTCTTAGTCCATTGTGCTGCTATAACAAAATACCTGAGATTGAGTAATTTATAAAGAACAAAAATTTATTTTCTCACAATTCTGGAGGCTAGGAAGACTAAGGTCAAGGCGCTGGTATTTGGTGTCTGGTGAGGGCTTTCTTACTGCAGCCTCTGGAAGGGAGCAACACTGCGTCCTCACACAGTGGAAGGCAGGAGGGCAAGTTAGCCAAACGCTGTGTGAAGCATCTTTTATAAGGGCCTTAATCCCACACACAAAGGAGGATCCTTCATGGCTCAATTACCTCTTAAAGGTACCACTTCTTAATACTATCACATTGGCAACACAATCACCAAATACTTTTTTTGAGTGAAAAGAACCAAACATGAAAAAACAATTATTATATCATTCCATTTATACAAAACTCTAGAAAATACAAACTACTCTATAGTGACAGAAAGCAGATCAGTGGTTGCCTGGGGACAGGAGAGGAGGGGAGAGAGGGATTACCCAAAGCTGAGGAAACATTGAGGGTAGTGGATATGTTTATTGTCTTGATTGTGGTGACTGTTTCATAGTCTCTGTGTGTATGTGTGTGTACATGTCAATGCTTGTCCAGTTGTGTAATTCAAACATGACAAATTGACAGTTTATTGTATGTCAAATATACCTCAATAGATCTAGTTTCTTAAAAAAGAACCCTTACAAGTAAATAATAAAAAGACCAACAACCACATAAAATGAGGCAAACTACTTGATCAGACACTTTACAGAGGAAGATGTAGAAATGGCTAGTTAGCACACAGAAACATAATTAGTTATCAGGAAGATGATAATTGAAATAACAATGAGATACCAATTCACAGCCACTTGAATGGCTAAAAATAAAGTCTGACAGTCCCAACTGTTGATGAGGATGGAAAACAAAAGGAACTCTCATACATTTCTGGTAGGAGTGTAAATTGCACAACCACTTTGGAATACATTCTGGTGGTTTCTTGTAAAATATACAACTATCCTATAATGTGGCAATTCTTCTAGATATTTACCCAAGAAAAATAAAAGCGTATGTCTACATAAAGAAGTGTACATGAATATTCACAGTCACTTTATTTATCATAGTCTAAACTGAAAAGAGTCCAGATGATAACTCTAGTGAATGAATAAACCAACTCTGATATATCCATATGATGAACTACTTACTATCCAGCAATAAAATGAAAGGAATAATAACACATTCGACAACATAGATAAATCTCAAAAACATCATGCTGAATGAGAGAATCTAGACACAAAATAGTACATACTATCTGATTCCATTCATATGGAATAGTAATTGCTCAAACAGGCAAAAGTAATCTATGGTAACAAAAATTAGAATAGTGGTTGCCTCTGTGTAGGATTGTGGTGGAGACTGACTGGAAAGGGGCAAATGGGAAATTTCTGGGGTGTTGATAATGTTCTGTAGTTTGATAGGGGTTTAGAGTATGTATGCATTTGGCAAACTTCACTATATGGGGCACTTCATATTTGTGCATTTCACTGCATGTAAATTTTGCCTCAAAAAATAAAAAAGAACAGTAAAGAAATAATTCATCTCTAGTTAATGGGATGCATGCTGATGTGTTTAGGGGTGAGGTATACCGATGTCTGCAACTTACTTTATAACGCATCACTAACATAAGGAAAACCATGCAATCAAGCAAGTACAGCATAATGCTAATTGTAGAATATTAGATTGGTAGGTGGGTGTAATTCTTTCAATTGTTCAATTGTATGTTGCAAAACTTTCATAATACAATGTGGAGAGAAAATAAGAAAAAAGTTCTCATCTAGGGGATAAATTTGTTACAAGAATATTTAAGAAGTTGGTTATGGTCATTATCACTAATAATGCATTTAATGCTTATTCATAAAAAATGAAGCAGGAAGTTAGACCAGGACCCTCAGAATCCATTTCAGTGATGGGCTTCACCCCTCCAGCATTTCTCTTTTCTCCCTTTCTCAGTGCACTACAGCTGCATTTTCCTTTTGGAGCCTCGAATATGCCAAAGTTGTTCCTGTTACAGGGCATTTGCACTTCCTTTCACCTGTGGAGGCTCTTCCTGTCTTCATTCACCTTCACATGGCTGAGTCCTTCAAGTCCTTCTTGTCCTCCAAGTCTCACCTCAGCCATAGCCTCTCTGACTCCCCTACTCATCACTCCCAAATATCACCCTTGATTGATGTTCTTCAAAGTTGTCATCACTCTTCTTAGGTGTTTTATGCTGATCTTTGTTTATTACCGGCTTCCTCACTAAACTAGAATTTCAGGAAAGCAGTGACCCGTATCACCAGGGCTTAGCACAGTGCAGGGACAGCAGCAGCTTCGTAGATTTTTGTTGACGGACAAAAAATTCATGTAGAACTGGCTGTCATCTGCTTGCGGCACCTCTGATCCAAGGAACCTGCTTTTTTTTCTTCATAGCACGACCTGTTATTTTGAAATTAACACAAGTATTTACTTGTTGATTGCGTTCTCCACTGCAAAACATACACATACACTCACAAGAGCTCTAGGGCACAAAATGTGGGCAGGAATGAGGCCCGATTTTGCACACAGCTGTATTTTCAGTACCTAGCAAAGCCAGGATTCACAGCGTCTTTAGTAGCTCTATAAGGAATGGCTGGCTTTTCTGTCTTCACCTTCTGTTCTCAACCCTTCACTCTCACCACCATCCTGAAGGCGCCCAAGGGGGAGGGGACTTTTCCATCCTTTCGTTCCCTCCTTAGTCTGTTGGTCGATTTCTTGGCTCGTTCATTGACTCCTTTGCACGTTCATTCCACTCCTCCCCACTCCATCCAAGCAGCACCCAGCAGGTTCACCCCGCTCCCCAGAGGTCTGGCCAGACACGCCTCCCTTCTCCGCCCCGCCCCTAATCCCGCCCCATTCCCGCTCCGCCCCCTCTCCAGGCCAATCGGGGCCGGCCAGGGCGGGGCCTCGCTCTCCCAGTACCCCTGGCGCTGCCGGCGACTCCGGAAACGCGCCGCGGGGCTGCTGGGCTCCACCGGGCGCTGGCGGCTCCGTGGCTCTTCCTGCCACGCCGGGCCTGCCGGGGCCGCACCGACGCCGCTTTGCCAAGGTCGCGTGTCGGCCGCCGCCGGGCCCAGGTGAGCGTGCGGGCCGCGGGAGGATTGCGGGGGAGTGCGGGCCAAAGTGATCACGAGGGCTGCACAAGTATGTGCGGGCCGAAGTGAGCGTGCGGGGCCGCCGGAGGATGTGCAAGGGGACGCTGGAGTGTTTGCGAGGCCGGGTTGACTGTGCGGGCCGCGAGAGAGTGTGCGATGGGGGCCGGGCGTCGCTGGGCCTATGGGGAGCTGCTCGGCCTTGAAGCTGGCCGGAGAGGGGAACTGGTCCCAGATGACTGGTACGAGGAGGCCCAAAGGCCTTCCCGCGGCCCGCGGGGGGCGGCGGTCAGGGGCGGTAATCCAAGACATACAGAGGCCTACTCTGCTCTTTGGGGGACGCTAAGAGTTAGGATCCGGTCTGGGGCCGAGAGAGAGGACCCCAGCTCCAAGCGCAAAGGAAGCCGAGGGGGTGGGGGCGTTACTGGGGGAGGATGGTTAAAAGACTTTTCCCTAGTCTGATGGGGGGGGAGGGGTTGAGCCCATGTCTGGAGCGCTGGGTGGGTGGACTAGGGACGGTTCCTGCTGAGGGAGTTCCTCCTTTGCTTTTGGGTGTGTGTATGGGGGTCAAGCCTCAGTTTGGCGGGGATGTTGGGGGCTGGTAGGTAGCCTAGAGCCTGAGACCTGTGGGGAGGGAGGGGAAAGGGGCAGCCCTGGCTGCGTGAAGGCCAGTTCAGGACCCTCTGTTTAAACAGGGCTTTTTCTCTTGCCCTCCTGGGGGCCACCATCTCCCACTCCAGTGCCCCCCACATTGAACTCCTTTGCTGTCTCCTCCAGTCTATATTTGAGTGATTAATTCATGTCTTTTTCTACACATACCCCCACTCACCTGCTGTCCAAAGCCCATGATCCCTTTCAAACATCCCCCCCATTCCTGGCCCTCTTCCCAGAGGATCCACCCTGTTCCAACTGATGCCCTCCAGCCAGTCTTGGCCTAGCTGGGCTGTTGGCCCCCTCCAGTCTCCTTGGTCAGTGAAACATTTCCTCTTCAACCTCAACCCTGACATTTTTCCTTTACAAGAGGATTCCAGATGGGATTGCTGGAACAGCACCTCCCCTAGGTACTAGTGCTGCCTCACCCCTTTCTCTGTCCTTCCCCTCCCCCATGGGCCTTTAAGAAGAAGCAATTTGCACAGTGTCTGGCACAATTCAGAACATTACCCCAAAATGTTATTGAATCTCTGTATAGAATCAAATTGAGCAATGATTTTCAGCCTTCTGTCCATGAGAGACCCCTTGGAAAAGCTGCGGAGAGAGTGGGCTCCCATTTTGCAAGGCTCCTGAGCAGGAATCCTGTCTAATGAGAGCTAGAGATGAGGGAACCTTCAGATTCTAGACAGGCCCGGTGTTAAGGAAGTGCATCCCCTTGTCATACATAATCTCTTGGAATGCTTATGAAAAATGCAGATTCCTTGGCTCCACCAAGACCTACTAATCTGCCACTTCAGTTCTTAGTGAACTCCAAACCAGGTTTCAAACCCAAGGATCCAGCCCTTGCCTAAGCAGCCTCCTCGGGATTTGCACAGCATCCCACCCAAACCCCAGTTCGGAATCTTTTCTATCCAGGCAGTGTAACCTGAAGAGAGCTATACTTGCAATTTATTTTGATTTTTAGTAGATGCCATACATCTTCTTGGGGAAATGAGAACATAAACCTTTCCTCAATTAAGTACAACAAACTACAAAATCCCCTTCTGGTCTACCTTCTGGCTTTTTATAGAAGGGAAAGAAGATAGAAACCTAAACAGAGAGGGACAGGTACCCAACAAAGTGAGAGAGGAAACAGATGCCTTCCTACCCATGCACACAGAAAAAGACACACACACAGACACAGATATCCCAAAAGAAACAGACTTTCCTGGTGAGACATCCTCTCTTTTGGCCCTTCAGGATTCTGCTACTTCGAGTAGCAGCCTGTTTGCACAGTGCAGGATTGGGCCAAGTGGGGCCTTTGCTTCCACCTCCTGGTTGGACAGGAAGGGGAGCACAGAGGCCAGGTCAGCATGGCCCAGCGGCTAGCTGGGGGTCACTTCCCACTTGGCTGGAGTGCATCGGGATCTTCAGCTGAGCACTCACCGCACGGGAAGACAGGTTCCTGGAAGGTGCACACGAGTCTTCTTCGGTTGACCTGAATTATTTCAGTCCAACAGGTGGGACCTTACCTGCTGAGCTAGTCTCTGAGAATTGTTCTGAGACATGATGAGCCATCCCTGTGTGTCTCTTTTGGGTAAGTCTGAGTGTTTACCCACCATGTCTGATGGCCCCACCAGAGACCCCATGGGTGGAGATACGGGACATTGAGGAGTATCATTTTGGTTCCAGAAGCACTTATATTTTCATTTATGTCAGTTTTGCTGAACTGTCTGCCCAGAGACAATTCTCTCAATCCAAGTAGCACAAGTCAGGAATAATTGGGAGTGCAGGTGACCATTTGGATGGGAGAGGGAGCTGAGGCACTCATCTGAAGGAGATCTCTTAGGAGTAGAATCCTGTAAAGACACCCTTTAGGACATATTAGCTGTGACCCAGAACTGAAGTGAACACCACAAGCCACCTGTTGTCTTCTGGGTAAACTCAGGCTTCGGGGCCTAAGGACATTCTTCTACAGGTTCTTATTTAGATGCTTGAGGGAATCCAGGTGTTACTTAGCAGCCCTTGGAAGCTTCTGGAACCTGCCATATAGGTCTTATTTGGGTTGCTTTGCTGTCTCTTCCCAATCCCAAGCCCCAGGATGGCACCTATCAGAGAGATTGCTTAGCTATTTGTGTGATACAATCAGTTCAATGCTGATCTTTTAGGCTCAGAAGCTACCTTTACTAGTAACCAGATCCTTGTGGGGAAGAGGGGTCCTAACCTCAAAGGTTAACTGAAAGACACCTAATTATTCACCACTTTTTGTGACATGGGTTGGTTTTTGTCTCTGTTGAATTAAACTCTTAATTTCTGTTCTTTCAGATCAAAGTGAAATGATTATTTTGGGCCTCTTAATGTTCCTGATTCCATGTGATAAATTTGATTGAAATAAGTCAGTTAAAATTTACATTATGATCTAAAGCACATAACAGGAAGATTTGTTCATTCATGTGAGCGCTCATGTTTTAGAACACATAATTTTTCAAATTGCCAGCTACTCAATTAACATTGACATCATTATTTTCCATGTATTCTAGCAGCAGATGTTTGTTAAACTGCTGCAGTGTACATGGTGCTTGGCTAGGTTCGGTGTGGAATCTGCATTTGACCTTGACAGAGCCTTTGCTCTCTGGGAGTTTATAGTCATCAGACTATCTTCAGATCTCATTTCGGGAAGGAGGATAGTACTATTTATGTTAAGAATTGAAGATTTGTTTTCCCATAGTATTTCTCTAAGCTTCTATTTCCCGGTTGTATGCAGGCAGCGTGCACCCTACAAGATTTGGGTCATGCTTTTCTGCTGTGCCTTACATTCAAGGTCAGCATTACCCTGTGTGTCCATCAGGTGCATCACAATGATTTTCATGTTGTTTGGAATTGCTCTGACCTTGATTCCCCAAGATCCACTTTTGGAAGGCAGTGGACACCTGCATTTGTCACTTCTGTCACAGCATCCAACTTCTTTTCCTGATTAGTTCCACCATTTTAAAATGGAACAGTTGTGCAACATAGATCCTAAATGATCTGATGGCCTCTAGGCTTGATGATAATTTTAGTTTTAACTGCAGGAGGGATTCATGTGTATTATCTTCCTTAGTGATCTTCCTGTGCTGTTCCTGAAGCTCTTCACCTGATACGCTTGGTTAATTATGCAGAATTTAGCTTCCTTTTGTGAAAGCACTGCTGTTTCCTCAGTTTTTATGAGCACCTTCTAAATGATCTCTGTGTGCCCAGGGGCTCTGTTCACTGTGGCTGGTTATCACTCAGCCACTGAGAGCTGAGGCGCTCTGGCACTAAGTCCCCCAGGTGAACTGGTACACATTGGGGGTTTGCAACACCCCATATAACCGGGTCCCTGTGCAGTGTGCGTTTCAAGAGATGGGAGAGACAAAGTCACGGGCATAAAAAGTAATGTGATAGGGTGTCGGGAAGTCAGGGGACCACCAGCATTCCTGTGAGCCAGGTGGTACTGACTAAAGTCTAGCACCCGTTTTTATTCTCTTTTTCATGTTATAGATCACAGTGATTTCACGTGAAAAGCTTGTGGGTTAGCCAGAAAGCATATAATCTAAACGGGAACAAAAGAGACTGGGAACAAAAGAGACTGCGTACTTCTTTCTACTTTACTAGTTTACTGAGACACAACTCAGGAGAGAGATAGGAACATTGCCTCAGGCTTAGAATATCAAACTGCTCTTATCTGCTGGAATGACATCCTTTGCTCATTCTCTCCTAAAAGTCACTACATGCCTTTTATCTATAGAAACATGAACACATAGCTCCTTACTAAGCACAACTACGCCTTAAGGTACGTATAGATAGTATCTCTGAACTCAGCAGCTGTGACCCATTCAATTGCCTTAGGTCTCTGGCCAGATGGCAGTGAGAAGAGGTCTGTAACAGGTCATCTTTCTCAGGAGGCACATATACACAATGTCCCTCCTCCCTGTTCCATTTGGCAACCAAACATCAGTGTCAATTGGAAACGAATTTTTAAAAAATGAATTGTATAAGTAATTCATGACAAGTTCATCTTGGAACCCAAAGTCAAACCAGACATCAGAATTCCAAGAAGAATCCAATAGGCCAGCAGGGCCCTGCCCAGGTGACAGTGGGACACAGAGAGGCTTGGCTGCTGAGCACCTGGGGATTAACTCCCACTGGGGAAGCACGTGTGCCTGTAGCACATTGAAGGCAGCAATGGGCTTCCTTGTGCTTTGGGACTAGGTGAAGCCTTCTGCCTACACTTGCCTAAGGCGCTGATGGCTCAGGGGAGGAGCCGAGGAAGTTACAGACCCACGGTCCTGCCTCTGGACTTGCTGGTTGTCACCGTTTGTGGACCACCCACGAATCCTGCCAACCCTTCACCCCTGCCCTTGCCTCGCCTGTGTGGGAATCGTGAAAGTGCTGTTCTCCTTGACCTCCGCCCTCCTCCTCGTGCATGCCTAGCATCTTCCTTATCCAAAGTCTACCAAAATCTAATCTGTCATGGGATTAGAGGGGGAAAAACAAAGCGTACCAAAATTTTAAAATTGTTGCTCTTTTCTGATACCAATGAAATTCAGCTCGGTTATTAAAAATTCCCACATTACAGAAACAGGAAGCAGACCTTTCTAGGCCTTGACCCCATGTGGTCACACACACATTGAAGTATAGGTGTGCTCATTCTAGCTAGAAGTCACTCTGTTTTTTTTCCTTTTTTCTCCTAAAATGCAAATATATACTTGGCCATCTTCTCCCCTTCCCTTCCCCTCTTTGGGTTTTCAATCAAGAGTTATGCCTGTCTGTGTCTTCTCTGAAGGATCACATTTTTGTAAGCTGCTGCACACCATCCTCCGTTGGCCACCTATTGGCTTTCCTCCTGCTCTGAGTTCCTGGACTCTGCAGTTGTGTCTTTGAAGCACTGAGCCACCTTTTGCATTTATCATCTCCCTCCTTTTTCTCATGACATTGGGATTATTTAGACTCTTCCTGTCGGTTATAATATTTTTTTTTTAAGCTACCAAATTCAGACTCAAGTTATAATATTAATATATTGTTTTCCATCCTTTCCACCTATCTGTGTCTTTATAGTAATGTTTAAAGGTTTTATATTTAAAGTTTCTTGATAGTGTATAGTGTATAGATAGTGTATAGAGCCTGTTTTTTCACCCTCTGCCCTCTGATGGTTTAGTCTGGCAATCTTGATGTTTCTTTCTGTTTGCCCATCTGCTCTTTTTCCTCTTTTTCTTCACCTTTCTTCTTTTGGATTATTTTTAGTATGTATTTTATCTCTACTGTTGGCCTAGTAGCATGCATCAGAGTCTTGGAGGGCTTGCCATGACACACAGTCATGTTTTACTCCAGTTGTGTTATAAACCACACACTACCTTGTTGTTATTTTTGCTTTAAACAGCCAGTTATTTTTTAAAGCTGTAAAAATGAGAGGAATCATTTCTCGGCCTTTTGGCGAAGATCAAGTATAATGATGGGGGTAAAGCGTTTTCTCTTTCCCTATATTTTCACATTCCTGGTGTTCTTTGTGCCTTTGTGTAGATCCAGGTTTCCACCTAGTATCATTTGCCTTCCACCTGAAAAAATTCCTTCAATTATTTCTTACAGTACAGACCTGCTGCTGATGCATTCTCCAAGCTTTTGTCTGAAAACATTTTTATTTTCCCTTTATTTTTGAAAGATATTTTCCTTGAATATAAAATTTTAGGTTAAGTTTTTTTTTTCTTTTAGCCCCTTAAAAATATCATTCATTTGTTTTCTGGCTTGCCAGTTTTCTGATAAGAAGACAACAATTACTCTTTGTGCCTTCTTCATTCTTATCTTTGTAAAGTAGCCAGAGGAACAAAAAGTTTCTTTCCTCTGGCTACTTTAAGATTTTCTGTTTATCACTGGTTTTCAGAAATTTGATTATGATGTGTGTTTTTAAATCTTGCTAGGGAGTTGGTTGGGCTTCTTGGATCTGTGAATTTACAGTTTTCAGCAAATTTGGAAAATTTTCAAGCTATTATTTCTTAAACTGTTTTGTATCCCCTCCCCATTTTCTTCACCTTCTCAGATTCCAGTTATGTGGGTGTTTGACCAGTTTATATTATCCCCAGGCCACTGACACACTATTTGTGTTTAAAAACTTTTGTCCTCTCTGAACTTCATTTGAGATAGTTTCTATTGCTATATCTTCAAGTTCTCCATTTTTTTTTTTTTGCCGTGCCTAATATGCTATTAATATCCAGTGACATTTTTATCTTAAATGTTATAGTTTTCACCTCCAAAAGTTGCATTTGGTTCTTTTCGTATCTTCTATTTCTCTCATTATATTCCTATTTTTCTTTCAATACTTGTACATAGTTTAACTAGCTGTTATCCCTGCTTGTGAGTTCTGTCACCCTTGCCATGGGTCACATTTTTTTGCCTCTTGGCATCTCAGTAATTGGTTGGATATTGAACATAAAGATTATGTTGTTGAGTGTCCGGATTTGGGGAGGTAGTTATTTGTGGATCAGTTTGATCCTTTTGAGGCCTAGTTTTAAGCCTTTTAAAGTCAGGTATTCTGTAGCTTTGGCTATATGGATAGGTCAGCCTTACTAAGGCGTGACCCCTCTGGATTCTCTACTGAATGTCACAGATGCCCACAGAGGACATTCTATGCTGGTTGGTCAGACCTTCGACATCTCCCTACTTTTGTGTGTCCTGAGAATTGTTCCATTTACAGCTTCCTGGTCATTGTTTTCCCAGGCTTTTGGAGTTTCACTCTGTGCATGTGTGGCTTAGCAGTCAGGAAACACTCAAGGGGAGCCTTATGCTGATTTTTGAAGCTCATTTTTCTGCATAACTCACTCCTTTCTGGAACTCTGCTCTCCAACTTCTAGCTGCCTCAGCCACTCTCAATGCTGATCTGTGTCTCCTCAGCTTGGCGAGGTCTCTAAGCACTGTCAGCCCCTCTCCCTACGCTGGTGATCTGGAAATTGCCTCCAGGCAGAGAGCTGGGGTGGTGATGGGGCTCACCTCAGTTGCTTCTCTTTTCCCGGGATTATGATCCTGTGCTTCCTGTTGCCCGAAATCTGATCATCTCCAGTCTTCTACTTGTTTATGACAGGACGTGAAACTAGTCCTGGTCACTCCATCACAGCCACAAGTGGACATTTCCATCAGTCCTTCTTAACATAACATCTTTAATTTTATGGAAAAGTCTTTCTCCTTGAGCGAGTGTAAAAAGGCGTCCTTTTCATTTACTTATGAGTTGAATTGAATTGACACCAGAACAGGAGCTGTGACTGTCTCTTTGAATTCACTGAAGTCACTGCCTATGGTACAGATGTCTGTGGTAGAATCTTATAATATTTTATACATTTTACAATTTGGAAGAGAAAGGTAACTTGTACAAATCGTCCAGGTCTTTTATTTAGCAATTTAGTGTTTGAAGGTCTTACCTTCGAGGCTTATTTTTCCAGCTGTTTTTTTCGACTTTTCATTTTGTCAAGCATGTTAGAGAAATGTTCTACCTGCAGTTGCCTTGCTTTCACCAGGGGAATTATTGCAGTGGGGTGTGGCTTTTAAGGGCCTCGCTGCTGTTCAGGAAGCTGGGGCTCCTGCTCTTCGCCGCCTCTCCTCCCTCCAGTGGCCTGATCCAGTTTGTTGTTGCCTCTGAAGTTGGAAAGGGTGTCTCACTTGCTAGTTATTTCTTCTGATAATCCTTCTCGTGTAAGCATGGACTGTTTGAGGCTTGCTGTCAGGAGGCCTGTGGTGGCCTGTCTCTGAGAGCCAGTCTCCCTGCCTTTGCCTCTCTGTCTGTTCCCGCTGTGCCTGGGCTGGTTCCCACTGGTCTTGTTGTGGCTCCCTTTGGCCTGCTGCATGACTTCTTCACTGGCCCTTCCCCTGTGCAAAGTATGCTTTCTCAGGCATGCCCATGCTCGGCCTGCCACTCGGCCGGCACCTGAGAGAAGCCTCCACAAGACCAGAAACCAGGGAAAAGGAAGTTGCCAGTCTCATCCCAGGGGACTTGGAGAAAGGACTGTTGTCACTCATGGCTTTTTTCACTTTCCTTAGCTTCACCTGCTCCCCAGGGTCTTGCCCTTCCCCAGGACGGAGCCCCAGGAAACCAGGTCCTGGCAGTCCCTCTAGAGACGCCGCAGGCCCAGGTGAGCTGTGCTTCCTCTGCCCTGCTTGGGATTCCACCACTGGTCCCTGATTCTGACCTCGGCCTCTGCCCCCTGCCCCAGCATGACTCACAACAGAGTGTGACCCCAGCTGCTGCCTTCTTGCCCTCCCTCTGCTTCTCTTCTGGAGGCTGCCAAGGAATGGAAGCCCACTGAACTTGGAGTTCCCATTGTCCAGATAGGGGAGCTGAGTTTCCATTCCAGGAAAGCGACTGAACTGAGGTCCCTTTGGAAGACTGTGGGAGGCCAGGGCCGCAGCCCAGGTCTCCTGGCACTTGGTCAGGTTCTCCTCTCAAGACTTCTTTAGGGCTTGTGGTCAGATATCTATGTTAGCAACACACACTTGCTCCAGGTCCTTACCTCTTGTCCCTGGCGTCATTGGCACTTGCCCTTGTCTCATTCTAGAATGATGAAAAGACTAATTATCCCTGGGAATTCTTTCAGGATTTGATGACATTTGATGATGTGGCATGCTACCTCACCAAAAAGGAGTGGCTGAGGCTGGACCCTGAGCAGAGGGCACTGGCATATTATGGGAACATGACCTCCATGGGTAAGGATGCCCCAGCCCTTCCCCAGATTCGCCATCTACTGGGAGTGGGGGGGAGGCACATGACTAGTACCATACAAGTTCACCTTGTTCCTGGGGTGTGGGAAATACAAAGGGTTTGCCACACCTGACATCTCAGAGTGACACAGAAAGAACTTCCTTTGGTCTTTTATTGGGAAAGAAATTGTAACAAACTGGCCACTCCATTGTAGAATATTCTTTTTAACCCACGAATTATACAAATTGCATGGCCATTGGACTTAGCTTCTTTTGAAAGAGGCTGACAGGCTCATGCTCCTGTTCAGCCCTCAGGGTCTACATGCATGGGGTGAGGAGGATTTTTTATGAGGAACTTTTGGGAATCATGGAAGTCTGTGGGTCTGGGAAGATCAAGAAGTCTGATGTGTGGGCACTGAAGGATGCACAAGGAGGAGATGGGGCAGGGTCAGCTCCCTAGGTGAGCCCAGAGCCTGGCTCCCTCTGGTTCCTGGAAGGAGCAGCCCTTGGGAAGCACATTTGGACTGAAGGAATGACTGTCTGAGGTCACAGCCAGCCTGGTCTTTGAGGACTGAAAGGGGTTCCCTGTTCCTGCACCATTCTGATATCATCTCTGGTTGTCCGTGTCACCCATGCCTTTTCCATGGGCAGGAGCTCCTGTTTTAAATCCCGCCTTGGTCTCTCACCTGCCGCAAGGACAAGTGCTGTTGGTATCAGACCCATCCATCCACATGGACCCAGCTAAGTGCTCTGGTGAGTGAGGAAGAAACCTAAGGAAATGTGAGGAAACCCAGGGGAAGCCTGATGGAGCTGCTATGGGGTTTGGGTTAGGGTTGCAGGGGTCCAGCTGAGCTCTTGAGGTTGAGGTTAGGGTCCAGAGAGCCAGCTGAGCTTTGGGGGGATTCGGGTTAGGGTTGGGAGGCCCATCCCAGGTGGGAAAGCCTCTTCAGGACCACTTTGGTGGGGCGTGTCCAGCAATCAGGCCCCTCTGTCCCTTGCCTCTGCTGTCCTTGCTTCCAGTCGCTTCAGGCTTAGGCTGGGTGCTCAGCTGCTGTGTCAGGAGGAAGAGGATTCTGGACAGAGGAGATTAATCTCCTTCCTTCCTCCTGTGCTGACACAGTGTCTTGTGTTTGTCATTTCAGAAAGCACCCCGGTGACCCAGCACCAGATGATGGGGGAAGACACCCAGTCACAGGAGATGGCCTCCGCAAACTCCCCAATGGCCGGTGACCCCAGCCCTGAGGTCAAACAGAATGAGGATTCTGAGAGGAAGGGAGGGAGCCCACAGAATATGCCTATAGAACATCATTTTGCATGTAAAGAGTGTGGGGACGCCTTTCGGCTTAAAGTCCTCCTCGTTCAGCACCAGAGGGTCCACAGCGAGAAAAAGGGCTGGGAATGCGGTGATTGCAGGAGGGTCTTCAGGGGGGTGTCGGAGTTTAATGAGCACAGGAAAAGCCATGTGGCCCCAGAGCCCCGGCCTGGTCCCAGTCGGGCCCTGGAAGATGCGGGGGAGAAGAGGGAGCAAATGGAGCGGGAGGCGAAGCCCTTCGAATGCGAGGAGTGCGGGAAGCGGTTTAAGAAGAATGCGGGCCTTAGTCAGCACCTGAGGGTGCATAGCCGAGAGAAGCCCTTCGTCTGTGAGGAGTGTGGGCGGTCCTTCAAAGTCAACACCCACCTCTTCCGACACCAGAAGCTTCACACTGCGGAAAAGCCTTTTGCCTGCAAGGTGTGTGGCAGGAATTTCCTGGATCGCCAGGAACTGCTCAAGCACCAGCGGATGCACACCGGTCACCTGCCCTTTGACTGTGACGACTGCGGCAAGTCCTTCCGAGGGATCAACGGGCTGGCCGAGCATCAGCGCATCCACAGCGGGGCCAAGCCGTATGGCTGTCTGCACTGCGGCAAGCTGTTCCGGCGGAGCTCGGAGCTCACCAAGCACCGGCGAATCCACACGGGTGAGAAGCCATATGAGTGCGGCCAGTGTGGCAAGGCGTTCCGCCAGAGCTCCAGTCTGCTGGAGCACGCGCGCATCCACAGCGGCGAGCGGCCCTACGCGTGCAGCGAGTGTGGCAAGGCCTTCCGTGGGCCCTCCGACCTGATCAAGCACCGGCGCATCCACAGCGGACTGAAGCCCTACGCATGCGACAAGTGTGGGAAGGCCTTCCGCAGGAGCTCAGGCCTGAGCCGCCACCGGCGCATCCATAGCTGGGCCAGGCGCTGTGAGTGCGGAGAGTGTGGCCGTGTCTTCAAGAGGCGCTCAGTGCTGCAGAAGCACCAGCCAACCCACCACGAGTAGAGGAGTAAAAGAGCCCTGTCCGCGGCCAGCCGGGGGGCCCCGGAGGGCATGGCACAGTCACAGGAGATAAACAGTTTTGTAGCGCTTATATATTTTGTCATCCGAAGGACTGAGACCAATTTATACTGCCACCAGCAATTTCTAAGTATACATGTTTCCCATTGTGGCCATCGAGAGTAGCTTTTTCCATTTTAACTTAGTTTGGATAACTAACTGTCTGAAAGTACCATCAGGGTATTGAAATCCGCACACCTTGAATCCCAGATGGAGAGAAGAGAAAGCTGGATGTGGAGGTGGAGAGGGGCTTGAAGGTCATCTACCCAAGCTCCCCACCCCCAGGGAAACACAGTTATTCGATGATGGCCTCAATATGCTGTGATCCCAGCTTTCCCCAAGAGAAGATTGCCCCAAAGTATTTTGGCCTACTTGAATTTATAAATTTTTAGGGATGTAAATAGAACACTCAAATGTCTTATGATATTTAATTTATTAATTTAGTTATACATACATATTATAAATCACATATAGAATAATATATTAATTTAGAAAATAATCCTTTTTGCCACAGTCTGTTTCATGGAATCATTTTATTCTAACTCCTCATGAGCATTTTTTAGCTCACCGTCTTCACCAGCATGGGAGACCCTTTGAGTCATCAGACAGTATCAAAGCATATCCAGTGACTTCCATCCAAGCTGTGCACAGTAGCACCGTGACAATCCCTGTATGAGGCTCTCACTACAGATTTCCTCCTAAGCCATAAGAACATATTTGCATAACATTAAAATAGTTGGGACCACCCCCCCTAATAAGAGATAAGTCTCAAGGACTGGAGTGTAAGGTGACGCCTCCTTTTTGGAATCACAAGCTGCTCATATCGGGCCTAGATGGCACTTCTCCAACCCTCCGTTTCCAGCTCTATAAAATGGGATAGTCACAGTACCTACCTCCTAAGGTGATCACAAGGACTCTATCGTACTCGCAGAGCTTGGAGGTACACACACTCAGCGAAGGCCATCTGCTGTCATTGTCACAGTCATTGCTGTCATTCTATGGCTCATTAGTACCAGGCCTCCTGACTGGTAGTCTCATCCTCTTTCTCTCATGTGATGACTTTAATACTGTGTCTGTTTTCTTGCATGCAGATTATAAGTTCATCTCCTTTGACTAGTTATCAAGTTACCTTTGGATATATTGGCTTTATATAGCAGTTCTTTCTATACTTATTGTGATGTTCTCTTTTCCAGTTTTATTGCTTTGCTTTTTGTAGCAGTTTTATTCCATTTTTGTTGTACAAGCTTTTAATTTTTACATATCCAAGCATTCATTTTTGTCCACTAAGTCTTAACTTTCATTGCCTCCATAGTTAGATATGATGACATTTTCTTCTAGATTTTTTTTTTTTTTTGAGACAGAGTCTCGCTTTCTTGCCTAGGCTAGAGTGAGTGCCGTGGCATCAGCCTAGCTCACAGCAACCTCAAACTCCTGGGCTCAAACGATCCTCCTGCCTCAGCCTCCCGAGTAGCTAGGACTACAGGCACGAGCCACCATGCCCGGCTGATTTTTATATTACATATATTAGTTGGCCAATTAATTTCTTTCTATTTTTATGGTAGAGACGGGGTCTCGCTCAGGCTGGTTTTGAACTCCTGACCTTGAGCAATCCGCCCGCCTCGGCCTCCTAGAGTGCTAGGATTACAGGCGTGAGCCACCGCGCCCGGCCCTTCTTCTAGAATTTTAATTACAAATGAAAAGTTGAGATCCCTGCCCATTGGAGGGTAGATACACCAGATGGGCAGGTCGGATGGGAATGGGCCAGAGAAACAGGCTCTTCCCTCATCCAAGATGCAGACTCCGTGTAATCTGTAGGCAGCACTTAACTATCCATCCCGGCCGCTCAGACATACTGGAGACAATTCCATCACAGATTGGCCAGAGCACTCTGACTGTCCATCAGTAGAGCCTCAGCAGCCAGCAGCAGGGCTTGGCCTCACCTATCTCAGTGGGGTGGTCCAAACTTGGTCTTGCAGCAGCCTGGCCATCCTTCAAGCTCCTGGGAGCCTTGGCAGTACCCAGTGTGGATTCATTGACTGAGAAACAAATCCACTCAAGAGACATCTTGGACACAGAAGACACCCCTAACATATGTCACATGGACCACATCCTTCTCTCAGCCAGTGACTCTACAACTAGAAAGAGATCTGTTTGGTGGCTTCTGCTTTGGGCAACTAGGGGGCAATTCACCCACATGTTCTGAAGTCACTTCCTGCAGCCACACCTAAGAGGGGCAGCAGAGCAGAAGCTCAGAGAGGAGTCACGCCCCTCTGGTGGCCTATGCATCATGCTGATAGAAGCTGGCCATACCAGCTTTGGGCTTTGACTTGCAGCAGCCATACCCAGGAGGGGCACTAAAGCATAGGTTTGCAGGGCATTGGTGCCTTTCTGACAGCCTGTGTGGCATAGAATAGGAGCTAGTCATCGTGGGGCTGGGTTGTAATTTCCAGCATCCTTCCCCAGGAGGAACAGCTGCAAGGGCTGGCAAGGAACCTGGTCCCTTCAGTGGCCTACAGAGGCTACAGATAGAAGCTGGCCACACCATGGCTATGTTGTGACTTCCCAGCACCTGTGTAGGGGGGTCTGTAGAGGCCTAGAGAGGAAGTGTGCCCTCCTGATGGGCCCACCAAGCTCAGCGCCAGCCACAACCCTGAAGGGCTTCTCAGGCCCACTTTCTTGGAAGCAAGGTCCTGCAATGACCCTTGTGACCTCGGCCAGGAGGTCCTCACAGTGGCCCTGTGCAACATCTCCATCCTGACCTCTAGGCTGGAGAGAATCCAACAGCATTTGTTACATAGCTATTCCTTTTGTTCTTTGGACCTTAGTTCTGCAGTAGTTGTAGATCTGTGTCTGAAGTCACTACTTTTTTGTCTGATCAGTTTTTTTCTTTTCAAACTGTTCTGATGTGTTTTGTACAGCTGTCATTTGACAATGAATGTTGGCATCTACCAGGGGCACGTCTGGCACCCTTACCTAGAAGATCTCTGCCATTTCTTGCCCGTTCACTCATCATTTCTCAAGTTTTACAGAGGATCCCATTGAAGTCTAGGTACAGCATTAATTCGGAACGTAGCACAGTCATAACTACATCCAGCCAGGACACGATGTCTTGGCATCTCTTCCTGCCCTCCCTGATCTTTCCCCATTTCTGGTTTTATGATTATCTCTCAAACAAATCTTCTTTTAGAGTTAACACTAAAGATCGAGTCTTTTCTGTCACGGTTGACGAACAGCTGCTCGTGGTGTTTGCGGTGGAATCTGCTATCTTCAAACGCTGTCTGTGGCTTTAACGTGTGTCCTGTAGTTTCACCAAGTTCATTTGTTGCCTCTAGTAACTTGGGTGGATTTCCTTGGATCCTCTAGGTATACTGCTATGACAGGTGCGAAAAGTGACCCTGCTTCCTGTCGTGTGTGTTTGTATGTGCATTTGTGTATCTACCTCATTGCATTTTTCCTTCTAATCACACATGTTCCTGTCGCAATGCCGGCCCCCACCAGAGATGGGTTCTTACCGAATTAAGAAAGCCTCCATTGCTTTTATTAGAGTTTTGAATATTTGCTGAAATTTTCAAAAGAAAGTAATTGTTTACCATTTTTGCTGCTTATTATGATTATTAGTAACTGTGTTGATTAGTTGTATCATCCCCACTCTTGCATTTCCAAAATAATCCCCCACCCAGTCGCAGTGGCATCTTTCTCGCATGGTATTACAGTCTACATGCTTGATTTTGTGCTAGAAATGGCAGAGCACCTGCCCTGCCCACCACCCGGGCTGTGGCCCTGTTGTGTACCATGTGACTTGCCACCCCTCTTCTAGGCCACATTAATGAAACCAGAATGGAACACCTGACCCAAGGACATCAGCCAGTCGTCGGAGCTGGCAGGAGACAAACTGGGCCATTCAGGTCTGTGCAGTGCAAACGAGGGAACAGCAACTTCTCATTGATGTTGGAAGATGGAGGGCACCACACGGTACTGAGAGGAGGTGAACATCGTGGGCTCCTGCTGGGCCTCCCGGGGCTGGTGCAATCCTAGCACCCCGAGGAAGGCCTGGCAGGGCCGTGTTCCTGGGCTCCTGGCAACTGCCCTCATCAGTCCACACGTGTGCCCACCACAGACCCCCTTGCATTTTACCATTTGGCTGCTTCCAGAAAAGAATCCTGATGCTGGCTTTCCTCATCATCTCCCATTGTGAACACCTGTTAAAATGTGGTACCGTATTCTGTTTGCTAAGATGGGTGAAATCTATGCCTTCTAGTCTCAGTGAGTTTCACCAGTGCTTTTCTCTCTGGGTTTTGTTCCTTTACTCAACCCACGTTGGGCCTATAAAATGAGTTCAATCACAACCCACCCACCCTGTGCTCTATTTCAGAAGTGTTTTACCATCCCAGCACATCATCAGGTGGGGAAGTGATAATTTCTCTCTCACTAGTATACGTACGTTCTGTAGTTCTCATTGCTTCTGTTTGGGTGTTTACTTTCAAAAATAGAAACTATCTCTTTAAACTTGGCCCTCAATGTGATTTGTGTACCTCTGAGAACAGTAGATAAGTCCCGCCCCAAGTCGTATTTTGGTTGTTGGCGATCTTGTTCCTTCCTGGTCTCCCTTGTCTGTTTTATGGCACTCACTATTCTCAGCCTTGCAGTAGAGCTGGCTATGGACTTGGCTTCTCCCCTCCCCTCCCCACCCTGCCCCACACGTTAGATTGTCAGCTCCTAGAAAACAGGGGTGACTCTTCATGTCTGATCCCCTACCAAATCTAGCACAGTGCCTTGCATCAAGTAGACTTCAATAAATACATGTTAAATGGCATTGGTCTCCTTGACTTCTTTTGTCAACACCTCATTTATCAGTTCTCTCTCTCTCCTTTCTCCATGCCATGGAGTTCTGCACTTCTCCTTACACTTGGAGAATTGCCCCCTCCTGGGGTCCATGTGCTGTCTCAGTCCCTGCAGGGCTCGGTTAGCCTAGTGCTGGCTGCACACCTAAAGGGTAGAGAAGGTACCCTGATGGGCTAGGCGGGTGTGCCTGGAACTCTCCCACCACCTCAGCTACAGCTCCCCTGAGTCTAGATTCCAGATGGGAGGAGAAAAAATGGCCAGACCCTGAGCTCCTTTGAGGGACCAGAAATAGGGTGACAAATGGCTTCTGGGTCTTGAGAATCAGCCCACCTCTCTAAGCTGGGTGGGGCTGGGAGCAGGCTCAGTACTCCTGGTGGCCAGTGGCTGGCCCTCCCTCTGCTGACCACTCCCTCAGAAAAGGCAGGGGTAGGAGCAGGCCCCCTGGTTTCCCGACACTTCAAATGCCAAAAAGGCTGTCAAGGCAGCCCAGCCATTGAAGGACACACACAGAGGGCTCCGGGATGTAACCCCAGACAGGGAGCCCCACAAGAGGAAGAGCCCTTCCTCACTGGGGTGCAGCTCTTGGCACCCCTGGAGGCTGCTTTACCCACTAGACAGGGCAGCTGCCTCCCAAGCCCTCCATCCCCAGATCTCATGTCTGCCCCACCCCCAGCCCAGCCATCTCTGCTTGCAAGCCAGTTAGTTGTTGGGAAAGTACCACGATGTGCTTGTTACCGAGAATCCACCTATTCTGGAAATGTCTGCAAGCTCTGTTCTGGCAAGCCCCAGCTATGCATGGGTCCGTTTGGACAGTTACCACTGTACCCAAAAGAGAGGGGACAGTCCTGTGGGCCTCTGGTAGGGGTTTGAGGATATTCCTTCTTGTCCCTCTCCTAGTGCCCCTGCCTTCCTGGGGCCCCGTAGCTCCCCTTTGCAGAACAAACAAGAAGGCGTCTGAGGAAATAAGACCTTCCTCTTGTTCCCCTTTGGTGGAACATTCAAAAATCCAGAGGTCCCCTAGAAGTGTCTTGCTGGCCTGAGAGTTCATGGTCCCCAGACCCCCATCTCCTGGACCAGTGGCGGGACACCCCTGATTCCTCTAGCCCAGGTTCCCTACCACACCCCTCTGCCCCAGGACACCCGGCTCAGCTATCAATGGGGGCTTCTGCTTTGATGCTCACTGCATTTTAGCTCCCCCATCGAAGTCTCCCAACCCGTTTTCCTGAAGTTTCTAGAGCTGTGTCTTTGTCCAACCTTACTAGTTCCTTTAACAGACACAGCACCTTCCGTATGCCAGCCCGGGCCATCTCACAGCAACACAGGAGTCTTGTGCTAAATACATTTCACTCAACAGCTGACTGCACAATATAAAAGAGGGCCCCTAATTTCTTCCAGGGAAGGCGGGTCAGAAAAACTTCTGCTCCCTCATCCCTTTGACCTTTATTCAAGAAGCATGTATTGAGCACCTATTGTGTGCTAGGCCCCAGGGATGCAAAAGCAATGAAAAGGTCCCTGCCCTCGAGGACAGAATGCCAGAGAGAGAGACATGTA